GCAGCATGACCTTATTTAGATCTAGGTAGCCATGTATGAAATCATTGATATCTATTTTCACTTTCTTTCGAAAGTAGGAAGAGGCTACAGCAAGCCACTTGGTCCTTTATTATTCAGTCTTAACAATTTGACAAGTCAAATGCTAAGCTATAACATTTTCAATATCATTATTCATACCTGACAACTAGAAAAATTCTTTTAGATTTTGATACATTTAATTACTCCCTAGGTGAACATAATACGAAGTGGTATGCACTTTTGGTAGTATCTTTTGTCAAAATCCAATTTGATTTGGGATGTAGTTTATCTTTAAATTTTAATATAACAATTTAGTAAATAGTTTACATAGATTTTAATCCATTTTGGACTTTCTTTCTAAGTGGAATCAATTCAACATCGTCCATCTATTGTTGGTTCAATGATCATGTGATATAATGATGAAATGGCATCCTAGAGGTATTATTGTAAGTTAACATTGCTCCATTACAAGTACTAGTTGTCACTCTTGAGTGATCATCTAAGCTGCATAATTGATGATTCTCTACCTAAACGTCTATAGCCACATACAACAATATTAGTTTTATCTTGGTGGAATTGAATCTTTAAACCATAATCTTTCATCAACATAAGCTATTAACTTTTTCTCAAGTTAAACTCCAAGGTCAAAAAGTACTTTAAGCTCTTTTGGGTTGTGTAAATCTCTTAATGAACATCATAGAGAGAATGTTTCTAAATCTTCAATGCAAATGTAATTGCAATAAGCTCCAGGTCATTAGTGGGTAGTTCTTGTTCATCTTGAGTTGCTTATGGCAAAAGTTATTACTTTATCATGTTGCATCAAAACATAACCTATGTTCTAATGTGAAACTTAACAATTAATCTCAATTCCATTCATTCTTGAAGGAATGCTGAAAATAGTATTGACCTCAATATCAATCCACTATTGATTTCATCGAACATAATTAAAATTATGGACAATGGATGCAGTGTCATGCAAGCTATTTCGAAATGTTTCACTTGCATTGAACTTACTCAAATGTTGCCTATTTTACAAAATGGTCGGAGCTTATGTGCATTTGGACTTTTGAAAATATTTAGAGAACAATACCCATATAGCCCGGATTGCTGAATGAGAAAAAATTATAATATTTACCCATGCATAGATAAGGGAGAAACTTCTACATGCTCCAATGTGTCAATAAACCCTTTTTTTTAAAGGAATTTTGATATATCTATCAAATCCCTAAATCTCGCAAATGTCCTATCTGCTTATTTCCTGTGCTATGCAGCGGTATCGAACCTCTTCCCATCCTATATTTATGTCCATCGTTTTATGGAGAAAAAAAAACTTAAAATAAAAATCCTTTTTCTTTTCTCTTGTTTTCTTTGAATGCTTGTCCATGCACTCTCTCCTCTCCTATAGCCATGCGCTACAGCTTCCCTATTTCATTCCTGAGCTCGCCAATCTCCTCCCAGTTTGCCTATCTAAAGCTTGCCTACTTGTGTCATCTTGCCGCTTCAATCGCACGACCGCTACTCTACTTCACCTTCCTTGGCATTGTTAGAGATAGAATGGTCACATCTATTAACATATAAATTCAGAATGCCCTTTCGCTTATTTTCATAGGAGGGGTATTTTAGTAATTTGGTGCATGATAGTTAGTTGTTGTTTGCCGTTATATACCCTCTTGTCATATTAGGAAGTAGAGTTTTAGGTTATCCTAAGAACTTTGGATGGATTCCCTTGTTTTGGAGGGGAGAGGAGATGAGGAAACCACTGGAATTTAAGTTCTTGTCAAAATTGATTTGCCAAAATCCCGTTGCTTTCTTTGTGGGCTGCCGAGTTTCTAACCTGCTGTTCCAGGTTCCAATAGCGGGTGACATTGGACTTCCTAGGTTCCAGGCATCAGGGCTAGGTTTCCAGACATCGAATTGCTGACATTCCATTGAAGACCTGCAGCCATTTAATCTAAGAATGCCAACTAATCAGTTTTTTTAATTTTCATCCTCAGTCTTTCCCTTAAATCAGCTATTCTTCAGTACGGCCACTGTCGGTTATTCTTAACTGACAACTACAGATTGTGGATGGAATCTCTAGCCAAATATCCTGCCAGAAACAGAGGTTCAACCAGTATTTTGGACAGCTTGTTTCAAGTCCAGTTAGGAACCAGAGGGAGGCAGGAACAGCTTGTTGGAGAAGTTAATTGCAATGGCTTATTTGGAGTAGGCTTTTGTCCGAAAGACCAACCACAATATTCCTTTGTAAATCTCTGCATGTTCATGCGGATAATATCGTCGTTTGCTAATTTTCAATGTGAAAAACAACCATTCTCTTTCCTTCTACAAACCCATTACCTTCAGGGTTTTCTATTTTTGAGAAATTTGGGATTCTTGCTATTTCATGTGTAATTCTAATCATTTTGCATGCCTCAATGATTTCCTTGCTGATTGTGCTAGGGCTTTGCTATCTAATGACCATTTTGGGTGCTTGATGTGCTCAGGTTATCCTCAATACACTTGTCTATAGTAGTGGTCTTAAATGCAACTCGTGGGTAACCGATCATTTCTAGTACAAAAATGCATATTCTCTCTTTCATTTCAATGTCCCTAGGTTTAGCTGAGAAAACTATATTTGAAATATGGGTTATGCTATTAAGTATGATATTTTGCTTGAAAAATCTATATTGTAGCAGCAATAACAACAACAACATCAAGCCTTTATCTCACAATTGGGGTCGGCTATATGAATCAATGTTCTTCATTGCTTCCTATTAAGAGTCAAATTCTGATTTAAATCTAATAAAGAAAAGTCATTTCTAATATTTCCTAACCAAGTGTCTATGACAGATCTCTCTCTAATCTTTTCTTCCACTGGAGCTACTCCAACCTTTTCACGTATATGCTTATTTTGTATTCTATCTCTTAGAGTAAAGCTACTCATCCATATGAGCTTCTTCATCTCTGCAAAACTTAACTTAATATTATGTTTCTCTTTTAATATACAACATTCTGCACCATAAAGCATTGCAGGTCTCACCATAATTTTATAGAATTTTCCCTTAAGTTTGAGGAGGACTTTTCTATCACACTAGCCCGTTGCTTTCCTCCACTTCAACCATCCAACTTGAATTCTGCTAATAATATCTCAATCCATTTCACCATCACTATGAACAATAGACTCAAGATATCTAAAATGTATAATCTTTTTAATTGCTTGATTGCCTAAAGTCACAATACCTCCACTAGATCTATTATTATTAAAATTGCACTCTATATATTCAGTTTTAGATCTACTCAAACGAAAGCCTTTAGACTCTAAGGTTGACCTCCATAATTCAATTTTACCTTCAACTCCCTCTCTAGTCTTATCAACAAAAAGAACATCAGAACATCAGCAAAAAAGCATACACTAGGGTACAACCTCTTGCAAATGTCTAGTGAGAACATCCATGACTAAAGCAAAAAGATGTGGGCTTTAAGGCTGATTCTTGTTGTAATCCAACTGAAATAGGAAAATACTTGGTCAAACCACCTTGTGTTTGAACACAAGTAGCAACTCCTACATACATGTCCTTAATGCCTTGAATATAAGCAGAACCTCTTTCTTTTCTAGAACTCTCCATAGCAGTTCTCTTGGAACTTTATCATATCCTTTCTCTAAAACAATAAATATCAATTGTTGATCCTCTTTATTCTCTCTATACTTCTCCATCAAACCTCTCAATAAATGAATAGCTTCCATAGTAAACCTACTGGCATGAATTCAAATTGATTTTGAGAAACATTAGTTCATGCCACAACCTATGCTCCATAACTCTATCACATAGTTTTAAAGTATGACACATTAACGTAATTCCTCTGTAATTTGCACAATCTTGTGCATAATCTTTATTCTTAAAAATAAGAATCAACACACTCAATCTACTCTCATCTGACATCTTTTTAGTCTTCAAAATAATATTAAAAAGTTTAGTAAGCCAAGATATTCCTTCATCTCCTAAGCATTTTCATACCTCTATTGGAATATCATCAGGTCCAACAGCTTTTCCACACTTCATTTTCTTTAAAGCCTCTCTAACTTCGGTTTTACTAATACGCCGATAAAAACAAAAATCTTTAATTTCATTTAGGGTGCTAAGGTCACTAAAGTCAATCGCATTCTCACAATCTTCATTAAAAAGTTTAGCAAAACTTTAGGAAAATCTATATTGCAGGCTTAACAAATTCATTTAGGGTGCTAAAGGTCACTAAAGTCAATCGCATTCTCACAATCTTCATTGAAAAATTTACCAAAACTTTAGGAAAATCTATATTGCAGGCTTAAAAATTAAAAATTCTTTCGTTGTATATGATATTGCGCAAGGAAGGATGCCTTAACCAAATCACCAATGTAATTAGCTTAACCGGTTCGCATGATTTTTTTCATAGAAGTTTTTCTACCATAGAAGCTACTCCACTTATTTAAAGTGTCCAAATACATCTCTCGCATCAGTTATATGTTATTTTGTTTTGGGGGAAAATGATGAGATCTTTGTTAGCTCAACCGAAGAGTGAATTTGATTGCCCTTGTGCCTTCAGTGAATTGTTTGAGATCGATGTTGCCTATCTTATCTTACTTCGATGGTGCCTAATTTTTTTTTTTCTCTAAGCCTATTCTTTTTTGTTTTTGGGGAATTTCTAATGTTGTTGTTATATGTTAAATTAGTTGGTCTTTTTTGGGATTTAGAAGTTCATGTTTTTACTCTATTTTGTTTGCACTATACAAGCCTTATGTAATTTTGGTAATGATAATCTTTCTTGATGAACGAAAAAACCTGGGCGTTTCCCCTGTGAAAAAACAAACCCTTTCATGGAATGTCTCGTGTCAGCTTTCATGCATGCATTGCTCTTACGAGTGGTAGGTTTTCAGTCACATTTTCTGGATAAAGATGTGCATAGTTTTTTTAATCATCTCATATTATCTATTATTTAATGCTCTTTGATCTTATATTGGTCTCCAGTATAAGCATCAAGCTTGTGAGAATGGCAACATAGTGAGGAATGTCCTTGCACGAAAATCCCTTGTTCCTCGCTTGATCTATCTCTCGATTCAGTCAGCTACTACTTCACTGAAGGAAACTGTTGAACCTAACGCTTCTGAAAAAGATGCTAATAGCAATGGAGAGCTTAGGTTTCTACTGGAAAAATATGCAAGGAGCATTGGTCTGTCATTTGATGATGCAGTGAAGCTGATCTTTGAGATTTCGAAGGGGCAAAGATCTTTCAAGGTATGTTTTTTCCAAGTTTTTTACCTTGTTTTGTTCTTAGAAGTATTGTCTACCTGGACGGATGGAAACTTAAGTGAATAAAATGTCCGCAAGATCTTTAGAAATAGTTTGCTAGCATCTTTTCATTTACTCTTGATGCACGTTAAAAATAAATGGTATTATTGGATGGTTATAATATATATGCCTAGTTTGATTGGAACTCAAAATGCAATAATGTATGAAAATTTGAAGGAATGTTGAAAATGCAATATTGTAAATAATTTATGATCTTCTTAGATATGGGAGGACTATGATGAGAATATTTAGAGAATTTTAAACATTGCGTGACCTTTTATTTGATTACAAATTTTTTCCTAAAAAATTTAAAAATTCATGCAATGAATTAGCCGTAAAGATTGAAAAGTGCATTAAGTTTTATGTTAAATCCAAGGTAGATGTTATAAATATCAAGCTTTTAAAAATAGGACCGGACCAACTAGTTCGACCAATATAGTCGTGAACCGATCTCATGGTCTGTCTAATCCATTATAAAATCTATTTTCACATTGAATATGTTAGAACAGTCATTTCAATCGGCAAACCGATGAACTAGTCCCAATTCTTTTGAACTAGCTGGCTCAATGAATTATTTAAATAATTAAATAAATTTATTTAATATATTTAGCATAAAATATTAACTTTAACAAATTAATTTAAAAGTTATTTTATTTATTTTTTAATAAGCATCAACTTCCTGAAATAATTATTTGTGAAATAAATTATAATTAAGCATTTCGTATGGCTTTACCATTCTATATGAGTTTTTATTACATTCAGGCTAAAAAGATAATATAAATAATACTAAGAGTCTAAGAGGAAGCTCTTGAGTGATATAGGATTAAATAAGTTGAAGTTCTTAACTTTACAACATACACTACATATTTTTAAATAGATTTTTAATTAATTTTTTATTGTATGAATAACATTTATTTTTTTGTTAATAATATCTAATTTATTTATTTATTTATACACTATAAAAATATTTATTTATTTATTTATTAATAATAAAAATGATCTAACATAAATAATTTATAATGTGGATTTAATATATAATCTATAGGTGTAAATTACATCCACACATATAACATTAATTACTAATAATTTATATTAAATTTATAAGTTTATATGTGAACTAAAGTAATGTTAAATATAAATTAAATTTAAAGGTTGATGGTGTTTAAAGTTTAAATTACAGAAAATATTATTAATGTATAAATTTAGTTTATTTTTTAGTTAAAATTTATATTATTGCATGATTATTGTATTATTATTATATTTTTTAATTTTATTTAAACATTTTTCATATTTTTTACATTACTTGGTTCTACCATAGTTGAATCATTGTACCTTGAACCTCTTCTTTTGATTCTATATCCGATCTAATTTTCGTAACCTTGATAAATATTATTAGGTTCTTCTTAGTAGTCTTGAACTCTCGCCTTAGCTATGTCTAGAAAGTTCTTAATAGAGAATAATAAGAAAGTTATTTAGCATTTTGTGTTCCCTTAATTTGAGTATCATAAATTATAGAGTGATCCTCTTGCAAATGATGCTTAAATTAATCATTTTTTGTCACGACCCAACCCAGAAACTTGAATTCATGAAGCGGGAGCAGATGGTCGAACTATTGATTAAATTTTATCTACTAATTATTTCTAGTATACTGAAAGAGCCACAAAAATTCTAAAATATAACTTAATTAATAAATTTATAATTATTTTGACAAATACTTTTCTCATGGAGCATTATGCCTATAATACACGTCATCTCCTCTTTCACTCATTTAAATTATTTGAATAATACCTATAAATATTTTTCAAATATAAAATGAGTCATAACTTAGTATGTCATGCTTCTAAATTATAATAATATACGATTTTCGAATAATATGCATGCTTATTTTAAAACATACAGTAATTATGTTTACAATTTATTTTGAATATGATAATTAATGTTATGCATATTTGTACATATCACATAAGTCATAAAGGATTGTTGATAAGACTAGATAGGGATATATGTCATATCTATATGTTTGACACTCTCTTTCACTCATTTAAATTATTTTAAACAACTACAAAATCCTACGATTTTGTGGTAATTTAAACTCCATATGTACATATCACATATGTCAATTAAGGGACTGACATTGTCGGTGTCCCTTAATTTTAGTATCATTTGCAAGATGATGTACCTTAGTGTATATTTTTTGCTGATAATATTCTTCTTGTTGATAAGACTAGAGGAGTTGAAGGTAAATTTGAATTATGGAAGTCAACAACAACAACAAGCCTTTATCCTACTATTTGGGGTTGGCTACATGAATCTTTTTTCTATTGTGTCCTACGAAGAGTCAATTCTCATCTAAATCTAATAAAGACAGGTCATTTTTTAAAAAAAGAAAGGTCATTTATAATATTTTTAACCAAGTTTTTTTTATTTATCTCTTCCTTTCTTAACATTAATCAAATCTAATATATTTACTTTCCTACTCGGGTCATCAGAAGGCCACAGTTTTATGCAACCAAACCATCCAAGGCAACTCTCTCTAATCTTATCTTTCATTGGAGCTACTCTAACATTTTCACGTATATACTCATTTCATATCCTACCTCTAAGAGTAAAGTCACTCATCAACCTAAGCATCCTCACCTCTGCAACACTTAACTTAATATTATGCTTCTCTTTTGATGGCCAACACTCTGCACCATAAAACTTTGCAATTTTCACTTCCATCTTATAGAATTTTTCCTTAAGTTTGAGAGAGACTTTTCTATCACACAACAAGCCCGATGCATTAATGGAAAATTCTATTAGATGGTGGTGAGACTTGCAATGTTTTATGGCCCAGAATGTTGGCATATGTTAAGAAATGTAGAGGTAGACTTAAAAAGACTTGGTTAGAAAATATTAGAAATGACCTTTTTTCTAGATTTAAATGAAAATTTTACTATTAATGGGATACAATAGAGAAAAATGATTCATATAGTCAACCCCACGTAGTAGGATAAAGGCTTGATATTGTTATTGTTGTTAAAGGGAACTTGAAATTGAAAATGAAGTCATGAAAAAAAGAAAAGAACTAATAGGAAATCGCAATACCATGAAGATGGCTTCAGAAATCTTTTCTGGGGGTTGATATTGTAAATTATGAAAAACTATTAAGTGTTTGAATTACCGAAGATAGTTTATATAAAATTTAAAAAATATTCTATCAAATTCAGAGGATTAGAGAGGAAAAGCTTAAAATTTATTATACAATATAATCCATTTTTATAGATCTATACAAGATGCCTTAATAAAGAAATAAATAACTACAAAATAATGAGTAATACAATCCTTCCTAAATCAGCTGCCTAGTTATGGATGGTTTTCAACGTGATTTAGTTGGGCTTCCCACGAATCTCTATTCATAGTCGTGGGATCAATGTGGGAACAAGAGACTAGGATTTAGCACTCCCCCTCAAGCTGGGGAATTTAGATCTGTCCTTCCCAGTTTGACAATCATTCTGAGAAAGGCAGAGTTGTCCAATTCTTTGGTAAGGATATTTGCAAGTTGATCTTTCGATGATACATGGATCACTGGCTATTTTTTCTTTAATAAAATGTCTGTCCACTTCTATGTGTTTGGTTATATCATACTGGACTGGATTGTGGGCTATGCTAATAGTTGATTTGTTGTCACAATATAGCTTCATTGGATCGTCCCACTTGATCTTTAGATCTTCTAGAATCATCTTGATCCATAATAACCCACATATTCCCAAGGCCATAACGCTATATTCAACTTCTACACTAGATCTTGCCACCACATTTTATTTCTTGCTTCTCCATGTAACTAGGTTCCCTCCAAAAAATGTGCAGTATCCTGAGGTAGATCTTTCTACGGGTGATCATGCATAATCAATATCAATGTATGCTTCTAGGGTTATTCCGTGATCTCTTCTAAAGAGAATCCCTTTCCTTGGATTTCCCTTAAGGTAATGTAGTATTCTGTCTATTGCTTGCATATGTGTCTGTTTTGAATTTTGCATGAACTAACTGATCATATTTATAGCAAATGCTATATCTGGTCTGGTGTGGGAAAAGATAGATCAATTTTTCCACAAGCCTTTGGTAAGCATACTTGTCTACATCTAGATCTTCTTTAGCTTCCCCCAGTTTAAGATTTAGTTCTACTGGTGTTGGTGCTAGTTTACAAGCTAGTTAACATGTTTCCTTCATAAGATCTTTAATGTATTTCTGCTGTGAAATGAAGATTCCTTTGCTTGAATTCCGAAAAAGTATTTTAGTCTATCAAGTTCTTTGATATCAAATTCTTTGATAAGATTTTTTTTATATACTAACTTTCTCCTCTTTATTATTCCCATTCAGGATAGTATCATTCACATACACATAATATTGTAACTCTCTCTGAGTATGAGTGTTTAAAGAATAGTGTATGGTCCTCTTGACTTTGTCGATACCCATTAAAAAGCATGAATTTTGAGAATCTTCCAAACCAGGCCTTAGGTGATTATTTTAGCCCATATAGGGCTTTTCTCAACCTGCACGCCTTGTCACCTTCACATTTTCCCTTAAATCCTGTTGGTATCTCCATAAATATATTTTCCTCCAAGTCCCCATGTAGGAATGCATTTTTTACATCTAGTTGTTTCAAATGCCAGTTGTATTTAGATGATAGTGAGAGTAGCATTATGACAGTGTTCACTACAGGAAAATTGTCAATTCCCGACGGCTTTTTCTGGCTGTTAGTATAAAGTTTATGACGGTTTTAAAAACAATCGATGGTTTGTTTACCGCTGTTATAAACTGCGTAGAAAACAAATTACGGCGATTAATTTCCAGTGAGTAAATTTTCCGGCAGCCAACACAGACGGTAATTTACGGCGGCCATAGCGCCGGCGACCGACAGTTAATTACCGGCGGTGTACCAGCCATCTCAAATACTAGTTTTGCTGGCGGCCCAACCGCCGGAAGTTACCGACGTCTATATTAAAATTCCGGAGGTTAAAATAAGTCGTCCGATATCAATGTTTCTGGCGGTCAAATCGCCTAATAGCCACCGAAAACTTGTAGTATTTAAAAAAAATTGACAGCCTCCTCTTTATTTACACCAATCTCAATAATACCTGCACAGAATTCAAAATATATATAACACATGAAGGAAACACGCCACTATAATCAACTCACATAAATGGAGTCTAAAATCAACATAATATTCAATAGCAAAACACAATCAACAAATCATATTTACACAATCCAAAATTCACAATAAGTAGAAACAAATGTTTAAACAAAGAGAAATGCATATGTTATACAATAAACATAACATATGAAATCCACAGTAATGTTTAGTATACACCAAAAAGTTCATCAAACAAATAACAACACTAATCATACTCTGTCCTCGCTGTCTTGTAATTCATGTGTCGGCTCTTGCTCTTTCTTCTTCTGATTTTCATCTCTATAGGATCACAACTCCGTATGAATCCTCTGACTAATAGTTTTATCAGCTCCACTAGCATCTTAAAATGCTTATGTAGATGAACTAACCTCATAAGCATAGCCCTGCGAACCTAAGTCATAAACCCTCCCCCTTTACCTTTCTCCAACAACATCTGACCACGTCTGATACTCAGAATACTGGGTCGATACTGAAGATGATCCCTCACCAGTAGACTGATGACTTTCCCGAACTCGTATAAAATCATCCTGCGATAATAAATCCATAAAATAAATTTATATTAGAAAATTAATTTTATTATATTTTGTTACTCCAAAAATTATACATACATGAGCTTTTTTCGCCTTCTCATCAACCCGCTGATGGTCAGCTTGATGTTGGTGAGTCCTCGTATGCAACTCCAGTGGTGTCGGCTCCCGGCCAAGAAACTCTTTCTGCAAATAGAAGCTATTGTGGTAAGAGAATTATTAGCAGTGATGATTTTCTTGTTATTTGGGCAAAAGAGTATAATGATGATGTGGGTAGGTGAGTGTGTCATATGATCTGTGGCTCTTGAGCTAATAATCCATAATCCTTTTAAATAGTTTCTAGAGGCACTTAAACTAATGTAAATAGAAAACTTACCTAAAAGTGCAAGAGAGGATAATGCATTTGGTTTTTCAAGGGATACCAAGAGTTATTTTAATTTATCAATATCTTCTTTATTGAGTTTTCTGAAGCTAGACTATGTTTCTGGGTTAGACAGACTTGTTATATTGTTGGCATGTGGTGTGCTTCTTATTTCACTTCTTTGATTCTACTCCTTACTAGGGGGGGTTTCCATATATTTTATAGCACGTTTCCTTTGTGTCTTTATTTCTTGCAATAACTACATCAAAGCGAGTCTCTATGTTTAAATTTTGAGGAGTTTTAACCTTTTTCCTTCCATGGTGCTTCTCTATTCATCACCATTGCTGAACTTTCAACCACCTTTGGCTACAACATCACTCCTCATCGGTTTTCTTCAGCACGAATGAGAGAAATGGTTTCATTTAATGATGATGTCTCCTCTTGGCCAAGGATCTGGACTTTTACTTGATCAAATTCTGCATTTAGTTCTGCAATAAAATCATAAATTCTATCTTTTTCAATATAGTTATTTAGGATAATAGTATATTTTGGACATCTGATCTCTCTACATCTGTAGTGGCATACTTTGTCCCGGTCAACCTTGTTTTGTGCTTCCTAATTTGATCTTAATTTCAAATATTTGAGCAGCATCCCAAGATTTTGAAAAGATTTGTTTGGTAGCATCCTGGCGGCATCCCATAAGTCTTTTGCAGTGGAAAGGAACATAAAGTTATCGCTAATTTTTAGAGTAATGGAATTTCACAATCATGTCATAATCATGAAGTCTGCTTCATCTCATGCCCCAAAATTTAGGATCTCCTCTTGATTTTCCTTCGAGGAAGTGGTATATTTTTCATTTCCCTTTCAAGTAGGTCTTCACAAATTGAGACCACTAAATATATTTTTTTTTCCATTTAGGTGATAGGAAGGTTGCATGCTTTAGAGATCACCTCGTTCTTGGTGTACCATAGAATCTTTAAATTGATCACAACTCTGGGATGAGTTTTCTTCATACATCATGATGTTACTGATAGATAGTAATAAAGACTATATTTATCAACGATTAAGGCTTATTTTATGTAATTATATCATCAATGAAGGCTAATATTTATTAGGGATTTAATTAGATTGCAAGTTTAATTAAATTAGGTCGCAAGCCTAATAGGTCTAATGGGTTCAAAAAAAAATCGCTTGAATAAGAAGGGGCCTTCATCTTCCGGTTGCATCAGCAAGGCTCCGGCTTTCGACCGCAAGGCTCCAACTTCGGGCTCTTATTCTTTCGCACGTGTGAGCAAACTCGTAAGGGCCCGTCTTTGTCGCGCAAGGTCCCATCCCGCGAGGCTTCATCTTCCGGTTCCGTATGCAAGGCTCCGGCTTTTGGCTCCTTGCTCGACTTCGTCCTGCTAGGTTCCGTCGGCTCCAGCTTCTAGCTCCGTTCGTAAGTCTCCGTCCCACTTGTTTAAGGCTTTCGGCTCCGTCTTTCTTGTTAACTTCTTCATGTCTCTGATACCATGTCAAATTCAAAGGATTACATAATTCTTATTTATAGATCTATACAAGATGCCTTAATAGATAAACAAATAGCTATAGAATAATGAGTAATACAATCCTTCCTAAATCAGTTGCCTAGCTATGGAAAGTTTTCAACTTATTTTAGGTGGGCTTCCCACGGATCTCTATTCTATTCTAGCCGTGGGATCAATGTGAGAATGAGAGACTAGGATTTAACTGATTCATATCTCAATTTTTATGAGGATTTTGAAACAGAATTAATTTGTAATTGGGAGTCATTTTTAGGAGAGTTTACTCTTAAATTTAGGTTAATGGCAAGGGGAAAATGAAAATAAAATCAGTCCTTTCATTATATATATATATATATATATATATATATAAGAACTAGAGATACGTGCTCACTCCAATAAAAAGGAACATAATGAAATAGAAATCATATGCATACCCACCACTTGGATGAATGCGCGATCTGAGGAAGGGTTATTGTATGTTGCTTTGGCTCTATATTCACAGAGGGGTTTGTATGACTTAAATTAAGAATATCCATTACTTAAACCCTAAATTCTAATTCTAAACCTAAAACCTAAAACCCTACACTCGGAAAATCCCTGATAACCCTAAATCCTATATGCTAAACCGTAAAAATTCAAACCTTAGCTTCAAAACTTTAAATCTAAACCCTAAATCCCTGAACATGAACCCATGAACCTAAACCTCAAGTCCTACAGCCTTAACCTGAGGAGCCCCTCTTTTTATAGAAACAACTACCTTTCCAGGCCAGCCTTCTAAAAAAAGGAATCATACGTCTATTAATTAAATTTGTGCCACATGTTAATTTAGTTTTGTTACTTGTCAATTTGCTTTGGCCAAGTATCTTTCTCAGAAAATTTCTTTTAGCTTGATAATAAAACAATTTCAGAAAAATCTCACTCGTCATGTGTTGCTTGATAGGAAATTACATGGTGGTTAAAAACATGACAGGCAATATGAAAATTTGATCATGTTAGGTATTACATAATATACTACAAATTTAATGTAATGATGTTGTTAAAGGTTATATTTTGAAAAATTCAAATGATCACTATTTTCCTCTAGCTTTATGTAATACATATTGGTTACCATTTATCACATTAAATGAAGCTTGAGGATAAATCTTGTTTGTTGCATATACAGAAGAAACATGTCCATCTTTTTTTTTTCACAGGATATACTTTAATTTCCTTGAGAATTATTTTCCTAGAATTATCAAATTTTTTAAATTGAATATTCACTTATTTCTGTTATATCCGAAGAAATGAAATACATTTTCCATGCTAACTCTTGACATTTGCAGGATTTTGGTACAGATATGGTGGTTGATTGTATGAATTTTGCAGTTTTTCTAAATGCATGGAATTTATGCTCTAATCATCCATTGCTCCTGCATCAAGATGGAGTGAATCTTATTTCTTGGAACGTGGTAGAAAACTTGGTTAATACATGTATTGCAGAGCAGTTGATTTGTGCGCGGCGAGTTCTGGATGGCCCTGGAAGTAACCTTCCAATTTTGGTTCAGTTGATAACAGAACCATTTACTTGGCATGCTTTGGTCATCAAATCCTGCTTGAGATCTATGCTTCCCTTAGGTAAGAAGAAAAAGAAAAGTGGCCTTTCTGATCATTTAAACTTGCGGCATCTATCGCTAGTAAGCAATTCCATAGACTGCTTAAGTAATGGGATTCAGAAAGTTCATAAATGGTTAGAGGATCAAATGAATGGGTCAGAAGATTCAAGATTGGACATTTTGTTATCTGAAGTGAAGGTAATGCAATCTGTAACAGGACCGGGCTCTGTTCTCCGCATTCTCGAAGAATGTGCATCTTCTAGCCATGAAGAATTAGGAGAAAGAATATATGGAGCTCTACAATTGTGGAGCTCTACTGATGTAATAAGAAAACTTGTCAATTCTCAGGCGTCATTACTTCTCAAGTTTCAAGATATATGTGGTGCCAAATTGAAGATGTTGGAGGTAATGAAACGGTCATTTTAGGGTTACCAAATCCTGGTAGCTAGGTTCTTTTTTAGGGTTTGCCGAAGTGGCCATGGTTTCCCCTACATTTTCTGCATTTTTTTCACAGGGATAGTTGAAGTTTTTTTTTTTTTCTAATTATTTTTTTCGGGTTATTCTCTACCAGAGCCTCGCTTCATTGTTGCCTCATGGAAAATAAGGTACCAAAAACATTTTTTCATTTCTTAACATAGTTTTATTGTGATCAATGCAAGCATTTATGTTTGTCTTTGTTTTGGCCTGGACCATTGTCCTTTAATGCAGATAGCTAAAGACTTTATCTTGTTCAAGCACTTAATATATGTTCATCTATTTTTTAGTCGATGACATAAGCATTATTTGGGATAGTTTTTTTGCTGCTTCTTAGAGCAGCTTTTTAATAAAAAAAGAAAAAAATTTGTACTAAAAAGTTATTTTGCGAAGCAATAAAAAAAGTCGTCCCAAACGAAACCATAGTGAAATATTTCTAGCATTTATCTACAGCTGATGAAGATGCATAGGTGACATCTTTACACCTTAAGAAGTCATGAACTTAGCTCTTCCCTTTGCTTCTTCTCTTAGGCCACCTTACCAAATATGGAAGCTTTGTTTTTTTAGTAGATTTACTTTGCTCTATCGCACAGAAATCAGAATCAAACCTCAAAAAATGCTTTTATTTATGTGGAAAGTCTGTGATAAGCATCACGTCTTAAGCCAGGAAGAGTATTTCTCATCACAATTTATGGTCCTTACTAAGTTTTATTAATTATGGCATGGTGTGAGATTAAGGCTTCGTTTGGGATGGCTTTCTTCTTGCTTTCTAAAACAGCTTTCATGTATAAAATTTTCTTGAATTTGAAATTTTTGTACTAGAAAGTCGTTTTAAAAAGCGGTATGAATGCTGTCCCAAACGAAGCCTAAGTGGTTTCTGGGGATTTTATTTGGTTCATGGTTGGAATGGATAGCAATAACAAGATTCAGTTCCAAGGTCTGAGTGATGTGATTGGGTCATGGATCCATGCATTGAATTAAAATAAAATAATGTTTAGAGCATTGAAATTGAGATTAGGAAGGTAAAGAGTGAGCAAATATAGTTTGTGAATGAACATGTGACTGTGCCAAGCCACAAAATAGTTCAGCCTGAATGATTCTGAATCAGCCTGATTTTGCTTTAATGATACTTGGCAAATTGTTGGCCTTTATTCCATTTAGGCTATTAAAACTATTAGTATTTTTGCTTCGTCAAAGATACCTTACCATATCATGCACTCTACTATCACTTTAATTTCAAAAAATATTATAGCAAGATTCTTGATTACTTCATGCCTATAACTATGTGTAATACTGCATATATAGTCATTATTAAGCGGCTTGCTGATAGAATCAAACTTCTCTTCCCAAATATTATTCATCCTATTCATTTTTACCTTCATGCATGTGTGACATATTTATGACATTGTTATTCTTGCAAATGAATTGGTTGATGATGGTTTCAACTCTATTGACAATTCTTAATAGTTCAACACCAACATAAACTTTAAGAAGGTTTTTGAAAATGCCAGTAAAAAATTTCTTTATGAAAGCTTGATGGATTTGGGCATTTTTGAAACATTTACCAACTAAATTAGAAGTTTGCAATGAGTAATTTCTTTTTTCGATTGTGATTAATGGGGAACTTAGATGTTATTATCCCTCTATTTCTATTTATCCTTATAGTTATCATGGATGGCTTCTTCTAACCAATTACCTCATTGTCATAATGGCTTCATTCTCTCCAACTGTCAAAAATAATGCTGCCATCTCACATCGATGATCTTTTCATTGTTTGCCGCATCAATTGTAAAATCATCAATTGTCTAAACATTATATTAGATACCTTTCATTAATCAAATTATCTTGATGTTAACTCAAACAAATCTACTACTTAGTTTTTAAATCTCTTGATTAGAGCACTATACAAAAAATTTATATGAGATTGGGTTTTCCTTACAAACCATTTTCATGGGATAATCATAACATCACTCCTCTTCAAAAGTTAGGGTTTTAGACTTCACCAAAATTATGTGTAGATTGCATAATCGACTTAGTGGTTGGAAACTAAATTGTTCTCCTTTTTCCAATTACTCAAATCTATTATTTGGAACTACCTTCATTACATCAAGAGTGAGAAAAAAAAAATTTCTTCTCTTATGGATGATAATAGTGCTATATGTATTATGCATATACTCAATACTCCAATTTGCGATTCTGCTAACTATTGCTACTGGATAAATATATGATTAGATTTTATGATTATAAATATACTATCATGGCATGAAAATTCTTGAGCCATCTTAAAACTAAAGATGCTCTTCAATCTAAAAATATTTTAGTTGATCACTTATGTGCATATTGTGATAGTCTTAATGGGATCATATCTCGGCTTTTCTTTGAAAGCTTATTCTCTTTCAAAATCCTACAAAATGCATGTTGGAGAAAATCTTCTTTCATGGGTGAAGCAACCTCTCCTAAATTTTGGCTAATGTTGATAGTATTTTTTGCAAGATCTCCAAGAGCATTTTTCTACTTGCCAATCACATCTTTTCACATTATATATGGGTTGAAAGAAATGATCGGATATTCAAAGGAGAAACACCAATGCTGACATTTTAGCAATTCATCAAGAAAGCAAAAAATGGAAATTGCAAATGTGAGACGCATCCTTTTATTGTCAATCTTTTAGATTGGCAATAAAAGGATGCAATCTTTCATATGAGGCTCAAATAGGACGCTTCTTACCTATCAAGAATACTATTTTTACAAGATATATCATGATGTCTTAATCTTGGGATTCTTTTGAATCCTGCGTAGTATATGGATTTTTTTGCTAGCTTTGAATTCTTGATCAATCTTTGAAAGAGAACATATCAACTATTCACCCTGTTTGAAAATTTTGAGAATTTTATTATATGCTTTCATTTTCTTAGATATTGTTTGCTTATATTTCATTTTCCATCACTTGCTTTTATCTAAATTTGGCATTTGTCATGTTGTTTTGTATAATCTTGTGAATATCATAGTTTTTATAATCGCTTGAACTTGATTTCCTAATGGTGATATTGGCTAAGTGTGGCTCTTATATTTCTATATAGAAACTCGATTAAGATACGATGATTACATCATCTTATGTCCGCCTATTTGGAGTCTAGGATTTGAGTAGTGTTAGTTTAGTATAATTAGATGATGGTTGGATCGATAGCTCAAGCTCAAGTTGAAAATTTTTTACAAATTTTTATTTCCATTATAAATATCAACTTTTACCTGCATTTGCCAAATAGTAACGGGGTTTCCATCATGCATCTAGAAGGAGACCATAAACAATTTGAAACACTTAGGCTTCGGTTGGGGTAGCCTTTTTACTGCTTTCTAAAGCATCTTTCTTGTACAAAATGTTTTTGAACTATTTTTTTTTATATTAGAAAGTTGATTTAGAAAGAAGTAAGAAAGATATCATAAACAAAGTCTTAATGTTGGATAACACATGTTATTGAAATATAAATTAGAGATTACTTTTGAATGTCTCCGAAAATCTTTTTTTGTTTGTTTGAGGGCTTAATTGAGGAACGATTTTAGCTTATAAATACAACAAAAATAAATCATAAAAGTCACTTAGAAAACCTCAACCCTAAAATCTTTCAAAATCCTTATATTGCAAAATACTCTTCTCAAATTCCAAAGTGTTTAAATTGATTTCTAAGTCTTTCAATTCAGTTGCAAGCTTGAAAATTAAATTGAAATCTATAATAAATATGTGATGGTACATCATTCCTTAAATTTTGTCTTATTCATGTTTTTGTGATTGTTGCTTTATGGCGTAGAATGTTGCATAAGACTAACTTAATTGTTGTAGAGATGAGGATGCTTAGGTTTTTAGTGGCTTTACTCTTAGAGATAGAAAATGAAATGAACATATACATAAAAGGTTGGAGTATCTACAGTGACATATACGATTAGAGAGAGACGTCTTAGATGGTTTGGTCATATAAAAAGTTGGCTTTCCAATGACCCAATTAGAAGAGTAGATGTATTCAATTTGGCTTATGTTAAGAAAGATAGAGGTAGAACTAAAAAGAATTATTAAGAAAATATTAGAAATGACCTTTCTTTATTAGATATAAATAAGAATTTTATCTTAAATATGACACAATGGAGAAAAAAGATTCATGTGGCCAACCTCATATAGTGGGATAAAGACTTAATGATAATGATGATGTTGTTGTTGTCTTGTTTTTTCGTGAATGCATTAGTACTAGTTCTTATAAATAAGTCTAAGAGGACTTCGAATCCAAATTCTTTTGGTTGCTAACCAAAGCTCTCAACCAATAGATCAAGATGAGCAATGTCAAAACTACTATATTTACTTTTCGCTACAACTACTTTTTACAGCTGCTTTGTAATTACCATGGAAGATACTTCTGTAGCAGTTTAAATTGCTTCAAATACCAATGGTTTACCACTACAATTCTATATTCATATGGAAATTTGAACTACTACAAAAGTGGAACAATACCACTGCTATTGTAACATTTTAAGTATCTTTCTATTTGCTAATGTTGGACCAGTGGTTGGACAAATCTCTACCATTTAGCAACCAAAGAATAAAATCTTATAAGAATTCAGAAAATAAAATGAGAGAATAAAAGCCTTTAATTGTGCATTATTGGAATCTACACTAGCTGTGGATCATTAATTGAACTCTTACATACATAATATTGGAAAATTTTGAACTCTTAAAATAAATTTTCAAGTTGGAATATCAATTTTATGATTATTTTAGAAACTCTAAAAAAATTAAAAAATATATGAAAAATTAGAAAATAAAACATAAAAAAGTCAAGAAAAATGATTAAAACCAATTTTTATAACATTCACCTTCCATTGAATTGTATTTTCTTTAAAATGAAAGTTCAAAAAGAAAAGTTAATTATTTAAATATTTTTTAAGAAAATCAAAGGAAATTAAAAAAAAATTATAAAATCATAAAAACTATGGTAAATTTTCAAAAATTTGAAAATCATTGTTAAACTACAAAATTTAATTTTCAAATTATTTAGAAAATTTTGAAAAATATGGAAATTGTAGAAATTTTGAAAAGTCACCAAGTCCTATTGAATTATGTACTACTTAAAATGCTTTTCAAAACATTAAAAAAAAATTTAATCATTAAAAGATTAACATTGATCGTATAAATACAAAAAAATTGAAAAAAATAAAAATAAAAATGGTTCAAAACTTGTTGAGAAATGTTTGGCACCATAATTACCTTTTCGTG